TCTCTCTCTCTCTCTCTCTCTCTCTCTCTCTCTCTCTCTCTCTCTCTTTCTTTCTTTCTTTCTTTCTTTCTTTCTTTTTTGCCTTTAAAACTTTTCCTGCAAATAATTTGGCTTTTTTTTTTCACCCGGAGGAGAAAACTAAGAGGCTAACCTGCAATTGGGAGAGGTAAGAATTGCTCCATATTGTGATTTTTAAACTGGGGTTTGCTTTCTTGTCTCCGCAGGTGCGGATGCTGGCTGATCCAACGGGGGCTTTTGGGAAGGTACGGAAACACCTGGCGAGCGGTGCGAGTTTGGGCTCTGGATTAGGACAGGGAAAATCCAGGGTGCTGGGATTAGTCACCCAGCTGTCTTTCATGGCTAAGGTGGGATTAGAACTCACCGTCTCCTGGTGACTGGCTCAAAAGTCTCCCAGCAGGCTTTCATATCTAAGACAGAACTAGAACTCACCATCTCCTGGTGATTGGTCCAAAGTCACCCAGCTGCCTTTCATGCCTAAGGCAGGACTAGAATTCCTTGTCACCTAGTGATTGGTCCAAAGTCACCCAGTTGGCTTTCATGGCTAAGACAGAGCTAGAACTCACCATCTCTTGCTTTCAAGTCTGGTGCCTTAACTACTAGGCCAAACCGTCTCAAATCACCCAGACCCTGAAGGTCAGCCCCAATTTTCCTTTTACTCCACAGGCCACGAACCTTCTGCTTGACAAGGACTCTCTCCGGCAGTTGTTTGGGACGAACCGATCCAAAAGGTCTGGAGAGCCAGAAATGGCATTTTGTTTACGTGTGTTTGTGTGCGTGCGTGGGATGTCCTCCCTTGCGAAACCTTTACAGCCATCCTTCGGCCTACAACCAAAATGGAGCCCCAAATTTCTGTTTGCTAAGGGAGACGTTTGTCTAATGGGGTTTTCTTTTCTCCCATTTTACGACCTTTCTTCCCGGGTTGGTTAAGTGCATCGTTGCAAGTGTTCGACGAGCCATTAAATGAATCCGTCTTCCCCGTTGAGTTAGCTTGTCAGAAGGTGGCAAAAGTGGGGCACTGCGACCCTCATAAATATCTATATTTTGATCCCGTGACTGTGGGGAGGCCACAATAGTCACAAGTATGAAAAATAGTCATAAGTCACTTTTTCAGTGCCGTTGTAACTTCAGATGGTCATTAAATAAGATTTATTAGGAGTGAACATGCAGGTGCTACCTGGGTGTAGCTGACTCTGAGACACATCATTCATTTCACCCTTGACCCTGGTCTTCCCCGCACCCCCTGGATGTATATTCTGTTGTACATCAAGAACATACAAAAAAAAAAACAACTAGCCATCAACGGACACATAGAGGTAAACCACATTTACACACCCTTCAAAAGAGTCAATTTTTAAAAAGCTATTGCTACAAAGCCTGGTTGAATCTTCTCAGTTCTAGCTTGATTTCTTCCAGAAATCTTATCTTTTTCCACCCATTATTATTATTCCCACCTTCCATCCAGTTTCACCGTCTTTCCGTGCCTTTTCTCCCAGGTTCTCCATGGTGGTGGAGGACAGCATTGTGAAGTCCCTCAACGTGGAAGAAGACGGGACTGGGCTGACCTGCAGCCTGGCCAGCAACATCGTCTCCCAGCTGTGAGGCCCAGTAGGCTCCGTTGCCCTGGTGGGAACCCCCCACCCCCACCCCACCAGGTTGGTGGTCCTCAAGGGGTTTTGAAATTGGCTCAGGATCAGCGCACAAGAGATGGAGTTGTGTGAGTTTACATAGTTATGGAGTCCTCGCTTGCTCTCTGAGCTTGGTTTTCCTTGCGGACGTTTCATGACCCAACTAGGCAACCGAGGGTGGGGTTCAAAGATCCCAGCAACTGGTTCGCTGCCCAGTTGCTGCGTGGGCATGGCCATGGTGGGCGTGGCCTACTGGATCTTCCGGGAAGGCCGTTTTTCACCCTCCCCAGAGTCCGGAGGCTTCCCTCGGGCCTCTGGGAGGGCGGAAATGGCTTCCCCCAGGCTCTGGAGGCCCGCCGGAAACAGGCCGGTTTCTGGACTTCTGGAAGGCCCGTTTTCCCCCTCCCAGAGCCTCCGCGTGGATCTTGCACTTAACCTGCATCAAAAATGGTTTGCGTGGAGACTCGGGGGAGGGGAGGGGAGTGTGGGGACAGCCAGTCGGTTCAAATACCAGTTTGGCGAACCAGATGCAAATTTAACATCCAGTTCGCCCAAAACAGCCCGAACCAGTAGAATCCCACCCCTTGTAGGTAACACCATCAGTGCTAGAAGGAGTGGGATTTGCTCTCTGTTTATATACTAGTGGGTATGCCTTGTAAATGTTTTCTTCTTGATCGTTCCTTGATTGAACTGTTTATTGTTTGATTGTCAAGACTTGATAGTGGCAAGCCCCTGTATATAAAAAGAACAAACCCCACACTCCTTTCAAGAACTGATGACGTTACCTAGTTGGGTTTTGAAAAGTCTGCAAGAAAGAGAGAAAGAGGGCTCCATCCCTGAATTGGAAATATTCTCTTCTGTTGACACAATTACTTTAGCTTCTTCTGTGTTCCTCTGATCGCAAATAAATTGTCTGAAATAAAACTGAGGTCTGAGTCTGGGTTTTTTTTGGGGGGGGTGGGGGTGTTGCTTTGTCTTGGGAGTAAAGTGATATACCCTACAAAAATCTAGCCATACTCCATCTGATAGAGAAGGAAAAAAAATTCTATCCTTCATTGTTAGATGCTCCTGTGGATGAAGAAATCAAGCAATGATTCACCAACTCTAAAACCCTCAGTTTTAAAAACATACCTAATCAAATTGCAGGGACGTCCCAGGCCTGCTTTTAAAAAAATAATAATTTCTTTCCACTCAAAAGCGTTGAATTCATCTAGGCATGAGATAGAATTTTCACACTTATTTTGGTCTCTGATGAGGGGAGTGGAAAAGAAACACGCCTCTTTTCTACTTCGGTGAGATGGTTGAAACCGCAGATACCAGTCTTGTGAAAAAGCAAAGACATTTTGGGGTGCAAATTTGTATAACGACGCGTAATAAAATGTGTACAATCAAAATTCCTGAGAATTATTCTTACCAGGCTTTATGGAGGTTGAACTAAAAAAGAAATGGGGGGGGGATTAATTTTGTGTATGACAACTGCAATAATATTATTGTGTGCACAGAGATGGAAGAATGCAAGTCCTCCAGTTACAACGGACACCTCCCGTTGTAAAAAAAGATACTTATGACCAAGTCCTAACTGATTGACAAATCGAGCTGCTGCACTGGAACAACAGATCTGCTTAAGCGGAGGGTTGGACTAGAAGACCTCCAAGGTCCCTTCCAATTCTGTCATTTTCTTAACAATTACATTTTTATTCATTCCGCAAAGCACTTTTTCCATTGGAAGCCGTTTCAAAACTGCTCCGGAGTGCTCGGGGGCATACACAGAGTTTCATCTTTGCTGTTATGCTTAAGGTTACCCACAGCTTTGTGGTCTGCAGAGAAAGGACTCCCACAAAGATGCTGTTAAAAAAATTATGAATAAATAAATAAAGTAACTTCTGCTATGTTATTGGTTCTCCTAGGTACTATTCTTTTAACCATTAACCGATTAACAGAGTTGGAAGGGACCTTGTAGGTCATCTAGTCCAACCCCCCCCCATCCCCCACCCAAGCAGGAGACCCTACAACCATTTCTGACGAGATAGCAGTCCAGTCTCTTCTTGACACACAACTTCCAAAGGCAATTTCTATTCTATTGGTTGAGTGTTCTCATTGTCAGAAAGTTTCTCCTTATTTCCAAGTTAAATCTCTCCTTGGATCAGTTTCCATCCATTATTCCTTGTCTGGCCTTTTGGTGCTTTGGAAAATAGCTTGGCCCCTTCCTCAAATATTGGAAGACTGCTCTCCTGTCTCCCCTGGTCCTTCCCTAGACTAGCCAGACCCAATTCCTGCAACTGGTCATCGTATGTTTTAGCCTCCAGTCCCCTCATCATCCTGGTTGCTCTTCTCTGCACCCTTTCTAGAGTCCCAACGTTTTTTTTTTCTAGTATGGTGACCAAAACTGGATGTTTCAAATTGCACTCACATCCTAGTTCAATTCTAGGGTTTATTTCAGGCAGAGTGAAGTGCAGAGAAATTGCTCGAATTTGCAAACAGGCCCTGTTTGCGGTGGAAAGCCAAACTAAATCAATAAAACACCCTGACAAAACAAGAGGCCGCAGTTGTGATGACACTGTTTGAGGAGGTGACGGGAAAACTTCCCGAGGAGGTTCTCGTGTGGGTCGTGACCGCAATTTGTGTCATTTTCCAGCAAGAAAGTTGCAGCCCGGCCTCCGCAAATTCTCTTTGATGCCATCGCTCATAAAAATAAAAATATAGGAGTCATGCAGAAGTTTCAACAGGCTTAGGTTTCATTTTGAGGACTTCCTGTCTACCGCATTGGGAAAGGCAGAACCATGAAGGGTGTAATTTAAAGCTTTGAAGCAATCCAGCTTCCTCCTTACTCATACCCACCACCCAAAAACAAAAAGCATTACGGAAGGAAGTCCTAAAACACCCCAACGGTGCACGTCGTGCAAGAACGCAGGCATACCTAAGGCCTCCAAGGAGCCTTGGATGGAGAAGACGACATCACGTCAAGCCACAGCATGGATGAAGATGAGCTTGAAGCGATGGAGGAATTCGTATCCGGGCCCTTGGTCACCTGGGTGAGCCTTGGTTGGCGGGGGTGGGTGGGTGTTGGGGAGGTGGAGGAAGTGTTCAGGGCGGGTTGGACTTGTGGTAGGCTGTCCAGAGAAGTCGAGAGAGAGAGAGAGATCTTGGTAGGACTTCATCTAACTAACTTTCTCTCCATCTTGTCAACTTGAAGAATGGGTGGACTTCAACTCCCAGAATTCCCCAGCCAGCCTGATTGAAGATAGGTGGACTTCCAACTCCCAGGATCTGTCAAGATGGCCGGGGAATTCTGGGAGTTGAAGTCCACCCATTCTCCAAGTTGACAGAGGTGAAGAGACATTGATCTTCTAAACCCTTCCGCCTGAACTCGGTTGATGGCCTTCTAAACTAAGGTTGTATGTTGGAGACTACCCTGTGTTGACCTAATATTCTTAGTGAGGTCATCTAAAAAGACCCATCTGCAAAACAGACCTTAGGAGGAGATGATAAGGCAATAAAAGTAAAATAAGAAAAGAAAAATAATGAAATGAAATATAAAAAATAAAAGGAAAGAAATAAGAATAATGAAATGCAATAAAATGAAAGAAAATATAATAAAATAAAATATAAAATAATAATAAAATAAAATATAAAATAATAATAAAATAAAATATAAAATAATAAAATAAAATATAAAATAATAAAATAATCTATATATATAAAAGCAAAATACCATTCATGCATCATCACAAAATCTCCACAATTGTAAAGCCTACACACTTGAAGTGTGACATGTATGTTCCTCTTGGCTTCTAGGGGCTCACTAAGAAAGGATTTTTACAAATGACCATCAGAGCATTAGTATTTCCTATATTATTATTATTATTCACACACACTGATGCTCAGGAGTTCTACTCCCCCTCCCCACCTGGAAAGAAATCTCTTCCAAATGCAAAACACAAGCAGAGGAGAGGAGTTGCAGTTTCAGAGCACCGAGCAACTTTAGTACAGAACAGTTGAGCTAAGCCACGCCCAGGCTCCTTGCTGTCTCCTTGCTCACACAGCAAATACTGTTTCAGTTTCCAAACAGCCCTCAACTCTCTGACACACTGACGGGACGCTAGCCAGATGAATACTGATGGATGCTGGTAGGCAGAGGCAGAATTTCCCCCCCCCCTTATTTTCCTCCCCAAAAACTATGCTCGACCACATCGTTTTGTAGCGATGCCCGGGTATCGAGCTAGTAATAAAATAAAGAAATATAAAATAAAATATTTAGGTTAGTTTAGTTTAGTACAATGAAATTAAATGTCAAATATAATATAAAATAAAAAAAATAAAATAAATGAATTAAAATAAAATAATATAATATAAAATGATATAATATAATAAAGGAAAACTTAGATCCTTTTAAACATTGTTGACTATATTCACTCCCCTCCCAGGTGGTTTAAACAGCTGAGAGTTTCGAATATAAACCGGAATTCTTCTTATTGGGAATTAATATAGAGAGATATAATAAAGATATGATGTACCTAATAATACACGTGGTTACGGCTGCAAGACTAGTCTATGCTCAAAAATGGAAATGTAAGGAAATTCCAGATGAAATAAGAGATAATTAAAAAGATATGGACATGTGCAGAAATGGATAAATTAACGCAGGAATTAAAAACTAAAGATGAATCTGAATGCCATAAAGTATAGGAAAAGTTTTACCACTGGTTGGGGAAAAAGGAAGGACTCAGAATGGAAATTAAAATAAGATAAGGATGTCCAAATGATAGATTAGGATTAATTAAGAATTGTTGATATTGATGTATATATTATATATTTACCATATGAAATAGCCATGTAAGACAATTAGGTGTGTCAGGATGATTTCGCCACGTTCGTTGTTTTTAAATGTTTCATTTTTGTTCAATAAAAATTAAAACAAAAACAGTTGTGGGTTTGATGATGTGTTGAATGGGCAAACTCAGGAACTGATCACAAGTCGTCTTCCACTTACGGCCACAATGTTCTGCGAAGAGGTCGTAAAGCAAACCGCCAAGCCCAGGCTGACATTTGGGATCATCCTTGTCTTGGCTGAACAGATGCAGACGTTTGAAGATCTGGTGGGCAGGAGCCCCAACCAACTTCCCCAGGGAGAGGAAGAGGCGAACGAATATTTCCGAAAACTGGTGAATGGAGACTTCCTGCACCGAATCATGCAAATGATGTGAGTCAGGGTTTTTTGCCGGCTTAAGATGCAACACAACACAACAAATCTTGCTCTAATAGTATGGTTGAATCTTCGTAGTTTCCAGCAGTATCGGGGCAACTATAGATGGCTCAGAATTCTCAACCAGTTATGTCCCTTGTGAGGAATTTCCATGGTTTAACAAAAAAAACCCAAACCCATAATTGAAAGAGACCCACAATTTTCTTTTAAAAGACCAAACGAAACCAGAATTTTCCCCACTTGTAAAGACGATGAGGGGTACGGAGCTGCTGGGATGAAAAATAAATGTGTTTTATTAAATAAAAATTAAAATTAAAAAAGCATCTTTGGAGACCGGCTGCCTGCCATGCATCCAGTTCGTTGTTGTCTTTTAACTAAACAAATACATTTGCAGAAAGAGTGTGTTTTCTGCAAAATTGGGGAGTTGTCTTATTTATTATGCACAGTATTAAAAAAAATAGCTTAGTTCAAGAGGGGCGATGCACAGATTTTGAGCGATTTAGAGAGCAATTCGCAGACTTTTTTCTTCTTCCATTTAAAAGGGAAGAACACAAATGACTTCACTGAATTTGTGGCATGTTGGCTGGGGGATTCTGGGAGTTGAAGTCCATCCATCTCAAAGCATGCTAGCTGGAGGATCCTGGGAGTTGAAGTCCATCCACCTCAAAGCATGTTGGCTGGGGGATTCTGGGAGTTGAAGTCCATCCACCTCAAAGCATGTTGGCTGGGGGATTCTGGGAGTTGAAGTCCACCCGTCTTTAATTCTCCACTGTGCCTTCTCTAGTGACTTAATTCCTAGCGGCCCTCCATCTCCTTGGAGAGGTGACAACAGGGAGGAAGAGAGGTTGCAGACGCTTCAAATAGTCCTCCAAAGGCTGCAGAATTTCTACAGGGTGAGTTGAATCTTAGGATCTGGCGCCACAGCTGGAAGGATCTCTGCAAGCATAAACTTTCTTTTTTTCAACCAGATCAGGATGAAAATATTTGATGGAGAGTCAGGGCTCCAACAAATCCACCCCCATAAATAATAAGTCTCTAACTGCATCTCTCAAGAGTAAAACAAAATGATCTAGCACAAGATATATGTACCCAGTTGACACACTGTTTAAATGAAAGATGGGCTTGTAAATATAAAATAAAAAAAAGGATTGCCTGTATTTTTCCTTTTCTTTCTGTTTTTCTTATCCCAGGACGAGCTCCACCAGGTGATCCTTTCCCCACCTCCAAACCTCCATGTTATGGTCAGAGAGCCCTTCACAGGTAACGGTAGCTGGGGAACTCTGAGAAGGAATTTAGGCTGGGATAGATAGTTAGATAAATAGACTTTGGGTTTGCTTTCTTGAAAAACTCACAACCCACATCCCTCAGCCTGGTTTTATGGCTGCCAGTCTAGAGAGCTGCTTCCAAATCTAACAGAGTTGGAAGGGACCTTGGAGGTCTTCTAGTCCAACCCCTGGCTTAGGGGAGGAAATTCCTCCTTAGTTCCAGGTTGCTTCTCTCCTTGATTAGTTTCCATCCGTTGCTTCTTGTCCTGTCCCCCCCACAACCCCCAGAGGCCTTCTCTTCATTAAAATATGGGCTAGGAACCCATTTTGCTAAGGGAGAAATAGCAATCTGGAGAAAAGAGAAATTATTTGCAACCAGGGTTTTAATCTTCATCTTCCCATTCAGCGCAGGCCGTTCAGGAGATGAAGAAATTGATGCAGCTTTTGCTAGGAAGTGCCGTTCAGGTAGGTTGTGGGAATCTAGCAAGGGATGATGAGATCTGTCATTGGTTTGCGGTGCTGGGTGGTTCTCCTTGCTGCGTGTGTTTCCCGGGCATGTGTAGAGTGATTTTCCCAGACTGTTGACTCTTCGAGTAAGAATGTCAATAGCACTGATGCATTGTGATTTGGAAGAATCTTCTTCTTCTTCTTCTTCTTCTTCTTCTTCTTCTTCTTCTTCTTC